GGGCGGGGCCGGGGGGCGTGCCCTCCTGCCGGCCCAGGCCCGCCCCCAGCCGCCGGCCTCCGCTCTGGCCCCCCCAGGTCCACATCAAAACGATGCCGGCCGCCACCTACCGCCTGCTCACGGGCCAGGAGCAGCCCGTGTACCTGTGACCGGCCACCAGCCCGCCACCGTGCCTTAGCGCCAGCAGCCCCGGGACTCCGTCCGCGGGGCCTCCGGAGGCTTCTTGGCTCCCTGTTCTTCTCTGATTGAAAACATTAAATGCTTGACAAACGGGCAGCATCTTGGCTCGAGATCTGTGGCGTTGAGAGAGGAAGGATACGACCGACTCTCAACTCGGTGTCCTTCCTGGAAATCTCTAGAAGCCACTGCTGTGAAAATACTCTATTTATTAAAGACTGGCGGAAGGAGGTAGGGTTCTAGGTTCCGTACGGGAAACTGAGTCCCAGCTCTAGGGAGGAAGAGGGGATAGGGGCCAGCTGGCCACCTGGGAGGGGTCACAGGTCGGTGGCCGGGCCCCAGTCGTAGCCGTCTTCGTCAGAGGACTCCATGTCTCGAGCTCGCGTGAACTTTTTCTTCAAAGCTTCCTGCCCGTATGTCCTGGGGATCAGGAAATAGAATAGAGGCTGTGGGCAGGGGACAGGCAGGAGCCACCCTTACCTGAGGCTGACTCTGTGGGGCACGGTGGGTGTGGACAGAGATGAGCGAGACTGTGCATTTAGGGATCAAGCCTCGTTAACGAACTCCACATCCTTCAAAGCCCCAGCCAGTGTCCTGTCCTTCAGGAGATTTTCCCAATCAGTCCTCGTAGGAAGACAGCATCTGCTTCTTTGGCCCTGACGACATGGGGGTCTGAGTGACCCTGTCTGCTTTCAACCCGCCCACTGGGCTGGGAGCACCATGAAGGCATAGCCTGGTTCTCGGTCTCGTCACCCCCAGAGCCTGAGTCCCAGGAAGAGGGCCGAGGGGCCCCAATCTGGACTACGGGGGGGGGGCTCTTACCGCATGCTGTCCTGTCGCCACTGACCATGGGGGGAATGGCCATCCACCTTGGAGGGGGAGAAAGGAGGTCAGCACTTCCCCCAGAGTAAGACAAAGTAGGGTGTAGAGGACCCCCATCCCAGCTTCCCACCTTGGCCCCGGTGGTGCTACCCACGCTTTCTCCTTGCCCCACACAGGTCTGCAACTCCTCCAATTTTTAGTGAGAAAATGGGGTGGGACAGAGAAAGGCCTTGGCTGCGATCCCCTAGCCTGTCAGCAAAGGGGGAAGTGGGTTCCCAGCTGTAGAATTCTTCAGAGGGCTGTTGTTAGGAACTCATAAATAAATCCGTGTATGGAAAGTGCTCAGGATAGTGCCTGCCCCATAAGCAAGCTGCCATGGACAGTTGAGCAGGTTGGATACTGCACAACTCCAGGGAAGGACCATTCCAAGTAGAGACCTCACAGATTTGTACATTTTTATATTTAACAAGAGACAGTCTGGAGGAAGGGTTGCCTTTGTCGAATTTATAAAGGGCACTGCAGAGGCTGAGGCAGGCTCAGTAAGAACAAATGCTATATAAATACATGTTGTTGTTAAACACCCAACTAGTGTGGGCTGGGACTTGGACGAAGAGCATTGAGTTTAAACAGCCACCTTGTGACGTCAAGATTTATCCATTTCATTATGTCCCAGATAAGGAAATACAGAGGTTACAATGTTTGTTTTAAGTTGTTCAGTGACTCAGTGGCTCAAATACCCTAGGTCCGGGTCTCAGACACTGATCTGATCAGAGAAGCTTCTGTTCGTTAACATCCTGGTGGCAAACATCCTGGTGGCAAATCCTCCCCTGTGTGTCCCAGCCCCACCCAAGACCCCTGCCAGGCCGCCCCCCCCCTCCGCCGCCGCCCGTGCCCTGCTTACCTGGGTCCCTCGGGGACCCGGGGCTCTCCCATGATCCCCCGGGCTCTGAGGCTCATCCGCCAGCACGGGTTCCGAGGACCGGGCAAGAGCTGGCGCCGGCGGACCCTCGTCCACGTCCGTGTGGGGGCCGCCCTCGCCATCCGTGTAGCCCTCCCCGTCTGTCTCGTAGTCGCTGTTGACCCGGCTGTCACAGCTCAGATCCGCAGAGCTGTCGGCCAGGCCTCGGTGAGGCAGGTCCAGGTTGCCCTCCGACGAGTTGTCCGGCTGCGGGGTGGGCGTGGCCTGGCTGAGCCAAGGCCCCGCCCCCTCCTCCCAATCCCACCCCCGGCCTCCAACCTCACTGCC